TTTGGGAAGAATCTTTTGATAGATCTCTTCTTTTTAGTTGTACAAATTTATGTTCTGTTCCAGAATGACATGAAGTGGGCTTAAAATTTGTGAAACATTCAAGGGAATCATAAATAGAAAGAACTTATTTGATGAATTTTGTCTTTAAAAATACTGTAGACCTTAGTATAGAAAAAGGGTACTCTACATGCAGGTGAAAAGACAGAATCTATAAAAATGCTGAAGGTGAAATACTGATCCATTTCAGGTAAGGCAAATTTTTAAAAATTGAGACTTCCATTTAGTAGGATTTGCTCTAAGCTTACCAGGTATGTAAGGACCTAAAGAGAGTATTTTCTTATTGAAAAATATTATAGTTCAAAGAAAAGAATTAACTGAACGTCTCACTTCAAATTTATTCACTGTAAAATGAAATTCTGAAGAAGACTGCAACCAATTTTATAAGAAAAACAAAAATAAGACTATATTGAAAAAAGCATATTTTTCAGAAAAATATCAACATCATGTTAGAGACAGGCTAAAAAAACTGATTAAAGTACATGAATACATAACAAAAATGACTACTTATGTTGATGTTTAGACTACATGTTCAATGTAAAGAAAATTTTTTAAATGTTTTAATGTCATAAATACGTTTTTTAGGAAAAAATGTTTTGAAATGGTTTTTGAATAGAAATATGTTACAGATCTACTGAAACAGAATAACTTGCCAATCAATAAATAATTTAAAAAAAACTGTAATTTTAATTATTTTGAAATTCTTCTCCCTACTCTCAAAGGCGTCCTGGTTTAGATGATAAATTAAGAAACCCATTATAAGTTTCTGAGCAAAGGACTAATTCTATCAAGACTTTATCCTCTTTATGATATAGCCACAAGAAGCCAATGGCTACCAAGGCATTTGTCACTACGTGGATTCACCATCCTCATGCAGCAGTGTTCTTTCCCTAAGATGACTACCCCTCTGTAACCCTTCCACTGGGCCTCATGAGATTCATGGTCAGGTACTAACAAAATCAGCTTTTTTCCTGAACATTCCTCTGAGGACACTGCTTCCTCTTCAGCCCTCTTACGTAGTGGCTGATTTTTTTTCTACATCCCTCTGGGGCCTGGAGGTGGGCCTCTCCTGTACTCTATTACTACTTCCATTCTCTTAAAAAAGGCAAGAAACTGCCATCAGACCACCTACAGATTCCTAAAGAGAAACTGCCCTTATTCCCTAAGAATTTTTAGAGGGTTCTCTCTCTAACAACACTATCCTATCACAATTCTTAGTATTTTCATATTCTTGTAGATGAAACCTTCTGATACTTCATCTTGTCCTCCACCCCATCTTAGACTCCCATGGTCCTAGCCTAGATTTTGTCTTTACCAACATTGCAACTGCTTCATGACCTCAACTGCAATCACCCTGATCACTTACCTTTTCACCATGGACCCTTAATATCCTAACTCCAATAATTTTTAAATTCTATTAGGATCTATAATCTACTGAAACTACCTTTTAACTGTCTCTCATCCCCTTCAAATTCTCATATCCCACTTAATCTGGTTTAAAGTCTACAGCCTGTTTTTAAAATCACTCCTCTGTATCAACCTCAAATCCTTCAGGCCTCTCTGACGTTGTCATACCAGGCAAAACCCCAACCCTGGTTAAATCCAACTCTCTATTAATAAATTTGCCCTTGGAGAGCTAAACAGGCCTGGAGAAAACACATAACGAGGTTATTTGGTCTCACTTGAAATTCACGATCACTAATCTGAGTTAGGCCTTTAGTGCTGCCTTGCAATCCAACGACATTTCCCTAGTCTATTCAACTTTCCCTCTCTACTATCTCCTTATCTGTCATACATATGCTGTAATCTCTCTTACCTTGAAATAAAAACCTTTCCTGACTGTACATTCCTTTCTGATGACTCTCACAAACACTAATTCCTCCCTTTCCATTCTCTTGAATCCACTGCCAACAAGGCTTTTATTCTCACCACTCCATAAAAAAAAAGCCCAAGATCATCCAGAGCCTCCATATCACTAATTCTAATGGTAGGATTCTCAGTCCTCAACTTGACCCACCAGCAGCATTTGATAGTTTATTACTTCCTCCTCCTTAAAATACTTTATTTGGCTTTTTGATGTCACTTTTTTTTTAATGTCATTCTTATCTCTTGGTTTTCTACTTTTCTAGCCATCCCTTCTCATTCTCTTTAACTGGATCCTCCTTCTACTTGATCTCTAAATATTTTGCAGTGTCCAGGGCCTAGCCCTTGTACCTTGTTTCTTAACTACATTTACTCCCTCCCTAGGTGATTTCATTCAAGTTCATAGCACCAAATATCATCTATATATTGACAACTTCCACATTTAAATTTCTAGTCAAGACCTCAGTCCTGAATTCCAGGAGGTAACAGCTAAAGATGTAGATTTCTATCTCGAGATCACATTTCTTCTCAGCTTTAGATCCATTTATCCAACTGTCTACATCTCTGCTTGGATTTCTCAAAGAAATCCTATACTATGTCCAAATGCAAACTCGTAATCTCCAAACCCGTTCTACCTCTGAAATATGCTCCTCTCCAAACGTGCTGGATATCTGCAAATGGCTGATTATTTCCCCTAACATCCAGAAATGCAGATGTTATACCAGACACCTCCTTCTCCTTTCTTCATATCTGATCCATTCTATTGATTTTAAATATTTCCTGAATGCATTCTCTTTTCTCCATAGCCATGCCTACTCTAGTCCAAGTTTCCATCACACTCAACCAGACCAACATAGATACCTGCTAATAGTCTCTCTACATCCACTCCTGTTCCTTTTACAATTTATCCTTCACGTATCTTCTGAAAAACAAGCCTGATCATACCTTTCTGCTTCAAATACCTTTCTACTGTTTTTAGGACAAAAACAAGATTCCTTAGTAAAGCCCAGAAGGCCTTGGATAGGATGCCCACTGCCTACCTTCACAAATTCATCTTTCATCAATCTTTGCCTCATTCTCTACACTTTAGCATGGCTAGCTTTCTTTCAGTCTTTTGAGAATATCATTATCCCTACTCTCATTGGATCTCTGCACATAGTGTTCCCTCCGCCTGGAATGTGAACACCACCACGCCACTGCCACCATTACCCATCTCTCTATACTTCTTTAGATCTTCAGTCTAACACTCTCCCAACTGAGCTATTTCAGCTAGTTTCTCTATACTTCTTAATGCCTACTCAATCTTCAGATCTCATTTCAAGAAATACATTCTCAGAGAAGCCTTCTCTGTCTCCTCTAACTAGATCAACTTCCCCTCAGATATGCTTATCATTGCACATATAACTTAATATTTCTAAGTATAACTTTAAATGTACATTTACTTTTGCAATTAATTTGTACTCTATGTCTGTCAATCTACAAAAAACTTAAGGTCAATGAAGAAAAGATTATGCTTTGTTTGCACTATTATTTCCAGCCCCCAGTGGAACAGACATGCAAATATTTTTTCAATGAATGTATCAACATAGAAGTGACAATAAAAGCTGCTTTAACCATTAAAGAAAAGAATGCATTTAAAAGTAAAAATGGAGTAACTACAGTTCAGGCATTCAAAACAGAGCTAGGTGGCCACAGTGGATATGGTTTTAGATGAATTTTTGCATTACTGAGAACCTGAATTTTCTGAACTGTATCAGACACAAGGATACCACCAGTGGTTCTCAAAACAAAATCTGGAAGCAGCTGCCAGCTATAACGTGGTCTCAAGATCTCCACTTATAATTAACTGTGCCACCATATTGGCCTCCAGCCAATACTTAACAAGCACCCTTACTTCCTGCCAACTTCAATTATAATTCTTGACAATCCATGTAATTTTGTAGTTTTTGCTGTTATAATCCTCCCTCATTTTGTAGTCCGACAGAACAAAAGTCAAGCACTTCTTTAATCTGTGTCTCCCAGGCTATAGTCCTCAGTTTGGCTCTAACAAAACACTTTTCTATTCTTAGTGTAGATTGTTTATTGATTGTTTCCCTCCATAAGGACTAGAGTAACCCTAGGAAAATACCACCATTTAAGAATCAAGTAGAGGAAATTAGAAATAAAGCTGTCAGAAAACTAAAACAATTAAAAAAAAAAAGTAAAGAACATCATGAAAGGCAAGGGAGGATAAAAACACTGAAAAGATAGACCCAGCCATTTTGACAAGCAGGCAGGTAGCGATCTGGCAAAATTAACAGTGCGAGGAGCAGAAAGGAAGTGAACAAAAGGAAAACGCAGGGGAAAGTTCGCATTATTCCAAATCCTCTGGAAGTAAGATTTTACACTCATTAACTTTCTTGATATACTAAAACTACCGTGACAGTCAGAATGGAACAGTAAATCTAAGGAAAACTTACGTGCCATTTTAGAGTTCAGCCTTATTTCAATCTGGGTGAGTCATTTTAGGCTGACTGTTTACATGACATATAAGAATAACTGTTGTAATATTCACACCCAAAACGTTCTTTTTGTTTCTCAAAGTACCTTACCTCCCAGAATCATCAAAACAGACATCTGTGTGTCCCTCTGTGTGTCCATATCGCATTGGCTTCTGTGTGGCAGGCATCTTTTCCTCTACTTACCTGAAAATATTTTATAAAAGCTACTATTATTTTAGAAAACAAGAAAGCCAGAGGCTGAATGGGTAAAAAGGAAGGTTAATTTCCTCATGGGCACGCCCTCGGCAGCCCGTTTTCCTAAGCCCGAGGGGCACAAACAGGATATAGCGGAGGGTATGTCCGACACTACGTGGGGGAGAAGACACGCTTCCCTGCGGTGGGCAGCAAGGACGCGGAGAGTGGCAGACGACTCACCCAGGAGACCGAACCTCCGCGACTGAGGAAAGGTGAGAAGCAACCGCCGCCACAGGGTCGCTTCCCGCGCTCCGGCGTGCTCCCACACTGCGCCTGCGCCGTCCCGCCCACACCCAGCGCAGGTCCCGACCCGGGTCGCAGGGCGGTGGCGTCACAGCTGCGCGCCCGCCGCAAGGGGAAAAGCCGGTTGCTGGGGGCGTGAGGAAAAAAGGGACGGCGCCGAACGCGGAAGTGGTGGCGGCGCCGCGGGAAGCAGGTGGAGGCGGTGACCGCGACGTCCGAGATGAGAACCCTGCGCCGAGGAGTGGGGGCTTGCAAACCAGCATCTGCATGGTAGGATCTTCATGAGGTGCAGGAGTGGCTGCGCCTCCCTTCTTCACCTCAGCGAGCACTCAGAGTGATGGTGGTGGTGATGGCGGCAGTTACTCGGACAGCCTCGGTTAAACTGCGCTTCGAGAGGTGAGTGGGGGAAGGGTGGGTTGCTGCCTGGCCTTGCCCTTCGGGGTCTGCTTCTACTTTCCTGGCGCTCCTCTCAGCAGCCATATCCGGGTCCCTAAGCGGATCCAACGCCTCCTCGCTGGAGAATGAGATCTTTGGGCATGTTCGTTAAAGGAGAGGAAGGCGAGACCCTTCTCAAGCCTTTAATCTTGTCATTTCTATAGAGATAAAGGAAGGAAGACTTAATCTCAATTTATGGTTCCTGGAGTTCTGGTGTGTATATTAATGCTTTTTCTTTGGGACACTTTAAATACATCCCTTAAAAAGAAAGTAACCCAGGTTTCCCTGTTCAGACCCCACCTAAAGTTCACTAAAGTACATATTTAGATATAGAAGAGCTAGAATTAAAGTACCTTGTTGAATACTTCGATCGATCCTTGCAGTCTGTGCTAAGGTCTTGGCCATTAAGTTTATGCTTTGCTTGTGTTTCCATCTTCTCCATGTTAGGATACAGGTCTCTAATGAAAACCTTCAAATAGTATTTTTTTGTGATACCCACCTTCTAGTCTCAATCGGACCTCGTTTATGACATAACTGAGACATTTTTCTGTTGTAGATATTTTCCTATTGTTTTTCATTTTGGTTCCATTGGGAAAAGTTGCAAATGCATATTTAGACAAGCCCGTGGTATTGTTCTTACCGTGGTGGCATTGTATAAGGGGTTGTTTTGAGTACTAGGGCTCCAAATACACTTGCTAGACACTGAGGTTTGGTATATAAATGAAGAGGAAGAGTGATTGGTTGAAAAAGAACTTGGAATTTGGGAAAAAAATAACCAACCTATTGTTGATTTCCCGCAAGAACAGAAGATACCTGAGATGATTCTTTCCCAGTGACTTAGTATTATTTGGAGATGATTCGTTGTTTAGGTAGACTGGTTTACAATTTTTTTTATCCGAGTAAACATCATTGGATAGACTATGGGGTTCAAGATGAGCTTTGATAATTGCAGCCTCTATATCAAATAAATCATTGTGAGATTTCAGTGTAGTACTTCTCAGAGTTCAGCATGAGAAGAATCCGCAAATTTGGAACAAGAGTTACAGCTATAAAATGCCCTAACTGTAATATCAGGAACCATGTGACTTTAAAACTATGAATGGTGTCTGCTCTTCTCTCCTTTCGCTCTGCCAAGCAGTCAAGTCAAGCTATACGTTAAAGAAATTTTTTTTTTCTTTTACAAATTTCACACGTATAGAAAGAGCTTGGGCCCTAGGTTTTAATTTTGACTCTGACAGTTACTCATTATGTGACCTTGAATATGCTTCTTTACTTTTCTGAATGTCAGGTTCCTCATCTCTAAAACGGAGATAACACCTACCCTCATAAAATTATCAGTATATAGAAGGTACTCATTGATTTACAAAGCTAATTGTTAATGATGTCTTGTGTTATTAACAGGGTACTTTGAATGGGCACTTAATGGTTTTATTTAAAATGGAGTTTGAATCATCCAGTAAAATTTTTCAAATATGAGAAGATGTATTCTTGCTTCTGTCAGCATAATGTTTCCACATTTCCATTTCTGTTTCAAATTTTTAAAAAACAAATTTTAATGTCTTCACTGAGTTTATGGTCTTGTTTAGGGAAACATTCAAACAGTATATACAAGATGATAGTGTGGTAATGAAATGTGTATAACTTAAATGTTAGAAAAATTGGCTGGTTATTTAAGATGACATAGCTTTTTAAGAAGAAACCAGTGTAGCTGTCTGTCACTGTTTTGGCTGTTAAATTTTTCCAAATGGATTTATCATTAACAGTACATGTGTCATAGGAACCGGTAGCTGAATAAACTCACTGAAAATGATGCCAAGGTCCGCACCTTCAATTGCAGTGAAGGTTAGGTAGCTCTGTTCTGTTGTGACCATTCATAGTACCCTTAGGCTCACAAATGTTATTGTTCTCAAAGACAATAGGGTGAGAAAACATGAATAGATTACCATTCTACTTATGGCAGTGAGTATTATCTATATAAATAATAATATCATATAATCTTAGTCACTTTATCCAAGAGGCATATCAGTATTGCCTTATGGAAGGAGTTTTAAAAATGCCTTTTTAATAAAATATGTATTTGATGTGAAAATTATTCATCCTGTGAAAGATAAAACTAGAAGAGAGTAATAACAAGACTGAGGAGAGCAGAGTATTGAAAAAAAAATTGAAAGCAGTTTAGAAATCTGAAGATTTTTATATCTCTGATAGTGTCCTGAAGTGTAACAGCCTATTTAATTTATTTTGGGGGTAAATAATATGTACATGTGTATAAACTTTCTAAGGTGTTAACGGAAAAACAGTAAAATTCCTACTCTCAGCTACCTAGTTCTACTGGCTAAAGACAGCCAGTATTTGATTTTTCGTGTTGTTACATTGACATTGGGTCCTTACCACAGCAAGACAGATAAAATCACTGTTTTATCAATGAAAAGGCTGAGGCTAAGACAAGTTGTATTCTGTCCAAGGTCACACACTTAACCAAATGTCAGAACTAGAAATAGAACCCAGGTCTTTTATCTTCTGATCCAAGAAGTCTACTGCCTCTCCAACTTTTGCCATAAAACTTAGAATTTAGTTTTATCAGAACATGAAAGCAGTTTAAGTTTAGAGTAACCTTATACTAGTTTGTAGGTAAAACTTGTTACCCAAGCATAATTGTAACCATATGTAATTATTATACAGCAATGAAAAGAATAATATATAGTCAGTTTTAAAAAGAAAGGCTTTCCCTACTATTTCTGTTCAAATCTATATATTCAATTAGCTTGTAAGAAACTACAACTTTTTCATAATTAAGTTTGTTTATTTACACCCATAATATTTTCCAAGAATTTAAGATTCAAAAACTTTTAAAAATAGCATGTGTAATATTTGGAACAATATAAAGTGCTTTTTGATATTTCAGAAATGCTGAAGCATCCGCAGCCTCAGATTTGTGAGGTATGTTTTTGTGCAGATTTTCTAGCCTTATATGTGACCTTTGTTCCCTCTCATTTCTTTTCCTTAATTTTGCCACTTTCCCACCTTGTATTTTTAAAAATTAGATTCTTCTACATGGAAGACTCTAAAAAACACTGGAAGGCAGCTAATATGTATTTTCATTAAGCTCAATGTTTGTTATTTTCATACAGTTTAATCCTGGCAGTAAAAACATGAGGTAGTTGGCACTACCCAGATTTTATGTGAAAACTGAAGCTAAATGAAATTTTTAAAATCAGGTGGCATAGCTAGTAAGTGACAAAGTCTGAATTTTAGATCATGTTTGATGATTTAGCAGTTCATGCTATTTCATCTGCACCATGCTTCATTTTTAACTATGGTATAGTGAAAAACTAGATTGTTAATTTTTTATGGATCTTTAAAACTTAAAATTTTTCTTTTTAGTCTAAATTGCTCTCATAGGAAAAAAGACTGCAAGGAAATTGGCCAAAATGTCTAAACTGATTGCCTCTAGATAATTGAATTATAGTTTTTTTGCCTTTTTGAACTTTCTGAATGTTCTATATATTTTATGAGCATACATTATTTTTATAATTAAAAAATTACAAATTGAAAGGAAAAAAATACATCTAAATTATTTTCTAAAAATTACATCAAATAGCTTAAATATTCTTTTTTTTCTCTGAAGATACCAGAGATGTGTTTTATTATTTTTTTTGTATGTATGTTTTTTATTGAAGTATAGCCAGTTTACAATGTTGTGCCAGTTTCTGGTGTACAGCATAATGCTTCAGTCATACATGAACATACATAGATTCATTTTCATATTCTTTTTCACCATAAGTTACTACAAGATATTGAATATAGTTCCCTATGCTATACAGTATGAACTTGTTTATCTATTTTATATATATTAGTATCTGCAAATCTCCACCTCCCAGTTTATCCCTGAATAGCTTAAACATTCTGGTTTCTAAGATTCTCTTAAGGTTTTTCCACTTTTAGAAGCTTATAGTGCCAGCTCTTAGTTTTCTGTTCCCTCTTCACTTTAAATTAACCTTCTTTAGTGACAAGTCTTAGATGTTTCTCATTATCTTTAGTTAACATGTTCGGGGAACGTATGCTCATTTTAATATTAGCCCTAGTTAATGTTTCTCCCACAGTTTATTCCACAAAAAGGATTTATAATGAGTTAAATATAGGAAACTGTGGCTTATGCAGGTTTCTTAACTGAAGGACCTCTTGGAACTTTTTGCTAAGTATGCATTGTAATCTTTCAGAGGTGAAGTGGTTCCCAAACTTGTTTGACAAGGAAACCTCTGTTTCTCTAGAATATGTATTAACATCTTTTAGCACTATTGTCCACAGGAGTTCAAACTGGGGGACACTGGCATAACCAAACTATAATTAGGAAATTAAGTGGAGAAAGTTCAGAGTAGGGAAGGGAGAAGGGAGGATGTGGTGGTGCTAATCAGTGTTTTTTTGTTTGTTTGTTTTGTTTTTGTTTTTTTTAAGTAAATACAGTTAAGTCCCATGAGCCATGGCTTGGTAGCATGAAAAAGGGGATACTTTAAAATATTTACTGGAAAATGAACTTGTATTGCTTTTGTTAACTAGAAAAAAACATTTTTTAGTTCAGATTTTTTTTCTTAATTTGAACAAAACCGTTTTTCATATTTTTCCTTAACCTGCCAAGGAATTTATCTGTCAACTACTATCCAGTATAGTCCATTTGTGACCCCTAATAAATGTTTCCATAGAATTGAACTCAAATATCAGACTATGATCAATATTAAGGACTATGATCCACAGAATCCAATTCAGATATCATGGATTATGACCAGAATGTGTTCAAGGAGTTTTGGGGCATATGATGGCAGGTAAACTTTGGAATCATGTATTTGATAAGGAAATTCCCAGGGTTAAATAATTTATTTACACATTCTTTATGTAGTAAATTATTCTGTGTACGATCAATTTTTTAAATTTAATATTTATATGAATTCTGGTCTTAGATATGC